GGGTTATGCAACTACAGTGGGATTGGACAAAATGTACCACATGCACACCAGTCCTCATTGGCTTTCGATTTGCCTTCATATGCCTCCTCCCTTCATCCATAACTTCCTCCCTCTGCAACTTACACAATCACACATGTGTTCACGGGACTTGAACCGCAACCTAAACAGTGCTAAACTATCCCTTTCTCAGGTGAACACAGACGGCTTGTCTACATAATGATATGTTTGTCTCTGCCTTTTTCCCCACGTGAGTTGGTTTGTGTATCTTTTGCGAGCCTCATAAGCCGCTATCAGGCCTGAATGCAGTTTCAATATGGTCTGTGTCATCTGCTATCAATCAATCATCATGTGTTTCTCTGGCTTCATAATGAGTGTGAAGACATAACAAAATAGCTGTGACTCAGGTCTGTGGTGAGGTCATGGATGTTTGACATCTGTGAATGTGCATGTGTTTGTGAGCGAGATGGTGAGAAAACAGAAGCAGAGACAGACAATTCCTCCGTCTCGCAGTGATGACATCAGAGCTGTAGTATGTGTCTGGCCCTGGGCCTATGACAAGCTGTCTGAGAACAATGTGCAGAGCGAGCTGTTAACATATGTGAGTGTGTGTGTTATGCTCTGACACACACACACACACACACACACACACACAGCCAAACTCCCTGCCAGTTATGTCATGAACACACTGCTGTCTTTGACGTCACAGTCACAGCAGGATACACATGTTCACAGATGTTTAACTACTTGCAATCCTTTAGACTAACGAGGAAACAATGACACATGCAATTAATCACTGACAGCATCACAGTAGCATTTATGACACATTGTTTATTTTTATCAGTTTGAACTATTTTTCAGTAAATGAGCTGAACATGACAAACACAGAAGGCAGCCCTTTTTATGTAGGGTATGTGCAAATGAGAGCACGGAAGTGCGTGTAAGGGAAATGCTGAGTGAAGCTGTTTGTTATTATCTTGTCATCAAAGGGGAGGAGTGTGCAGTATGTTGTTGGTGGGAAATCTAACAGGACTGTGACATTGCCTTTAATTAGAGGACCAGTCACTGTGCTCCAACTGTTTTCCATCTCTGTCCCTCTGTCTTAATAGTCTTTCCTGTTCCTCTGATGGTTTTCCTCTGAATTTACTGTCTCTTTGTTGGTACACAATACACACATATATATTTACTGTCAGTTAGATAACGGTGATACAGAGCTGAGGGTTGGAAAATCCAGCTGTTTGGGTGGTGATGTCACAGGGGTCATGTCAGAGGTCATGTGTGATTGAGGTGGTTGGTTGATGTCTCAGGTTAGGGATCAGTGTTGCTGTGTGTCATGTTGTTCTTGCAAATCCACTGTCTTAAAAAAATATAGGCCTAGTCCTCTTTTTGGAATATATTTGCACACTCTTTCCATTCATTTGTCAGGTGAAATTCACAAATTAGTCAAATGTTGCAAAAAAATAATAAGTGAATCTAAGTGATTTTCCCAACAGATGGGTTTAAGGGACTAAATAGAGTGTCTGAATGTCAAAAAAAGAAAAGAAATGGAATGAGGTTTTTCCAGAACTTTTGGGAGTTGGTTGTTGTTCTTTTGCGTCATCTAATGTCATATTTCACGTTTTCATGCGAACACAAAAACAAAGAAATGTGCTTGGAAAATTACAAAACAAAGTACAAAAGACTAATTCCCATGCACAGCTGCGTTTTTCCTGGTATAGAAAAAGCTCTTCTGTAAACATGTTTAACCACAAACTCATCAGTCAACCTGCGATCAGTTGACCCTTTGAGTGCTGAGATAGTTTGATCATATTTAGGCTATTGTATGTAACAGTTTTTTAGATGATAGAGAATATGTCAATAATTTGTATTTTATTTAATCCGTATTACAGCATTTCACAAAATAAAGGCATGAAAAAATACCACATTTGGATACATTTTTGGTTGTTCACCTTTAATGTTAAAGCACTGCACCAGTACTACCAGTACCTAACAATACTTCATCTACTATTTCCTTTAAGAACAAGAACACCATTTGGTTAATATGCCTGATATTTAAAGATTAACACAGATTATTTTCAGTTTCAGGTGATTGTTTGCAATTATGAGAACTGATTGCGTTCAAAATTTCACTCCACTTTGCTCGAAGTACAGCTCTCCAGGACACCCTCAGGGTCCAAAAACAAGCTTCAACAACTGAAGCTAAAAAAGCGATTTAAACATGTCCCTTTTACATACACAGTAACGATAAAATCAGCCCTGCTTATTAAGTCTTTAAATGTGTCTGTTGCATTAAAGGTCCAGTGTGTAACATTTAGGAGAATCTATTGACAGAAATGGAATATAATATGCATAACTATGTTTTTATTAGTGTATAATCACCTAAAAATAAGACTCTGTGTGCTTTTGTTACCTTAGAATGAGCCGTTTTTATCTACAGATGCAGCAGGTCACCACCATGGTGAACCTCCATGTTTCTACAGTAGCCCAGAAGGAAGAAACCATTGTCTCCCTTTATGCATGGAAGCGTGGAATGTGAAGTGTGGGAGTTGCAATCTGCAAATACACCACTAGATGCCACTAAACCTTACATACTAGACCTTTTGGTTACTGTGACACTGCCTGTATGCATCATTTTGTATATTTTCTTTTTGTAGTATGAACTTCCCACTGAGAAAGCCTTCTCACATTAGCCTTCTATTGGTAGTTACAGATAGAATGTAGGATGTTTTACAGGCTTCAGTATCTTTCATTATTATTCATAATCCATCAACATGAACAGTTTTCTCCACACTACAATACCATCAACCATACTAATTAAATAACTTCATTTTTGCTAATATCTGAAACAACAGAAATCCATTCTTTACTTTTCTAGTTAGGCCATGAACAAACTGACAGCTGGACACATAAGTGATATATAAGTGTATATATGATATAAGTGTGTGAGCAAAGCTACAGTTTAAAAAAGGATACAATTTAAGAATTTTAACAAAGGTACTCAGGTGGGATATTATACATTATACACTATGTGTTTGTGTTAAAATTGGTAAGACTGTAAACAAATGCTCTTTTATTCAAAATAACAAGAATTACCTTTCATATTAGCCAAAGTTGAGTCACAGTTGTATCTTGCAGTCATACCTAATTTTGAAGCAGTCTTTTGCATCTAACTGAATTCACATGTATTCACATGAGTTTTTCACTCTAGTGAGTGGGTGCAGCTAAACAAGCCTCATTAACACTGTAGTGTTGGGTTGGAGTGCTATATAGCAGCCATAAATGTGGGGAAAAGTGTCATTGAAAAGTGTTTTAAATAACATTTTATGGCACCAACTTATCATTTTCCCATTCTCACAGTTTTAGTAGTTGACACTTAGGCTTTGGCCCACAGTTAAAAACAAGGCAACTATGCAAGAAAAACCCAGATGGGAGTCAGTGGGTGAAATGTTTCTAGGAGACAGGGGTGAATGGATGTTTTTACAGGCACTTTAAAATGGTGAGTGGATTTTTAAATGTTGCAAATATTGTGAAACTGAACTTTTTTGTGCCAAAGATCATTCATTAATCATTCATTATTAAAGGCATTTGTCTTTATTGCCAAAAAAGTAGTTGCAGTTTTGGTTTCAGCATTTGTTATTCAGTGTTCAGAGTGAGCAGATTGTTTGGATACTTTGGTTGATAATGCATAATTAAGTTGCATTTGGGAATGCAAATTTTACCTTTAGTCTCATGTCTATAGTTCTACCATTTCAACACATTATAGACAGACAAACTGCACCAGAGGAGACGCTCGGATAAAGTAGCTGGAACAGAGACAGACAGACTTCACCGTCATGCTGGTGACTCATTCCAGCAGAGGATAAGTGGAGAGAGAGAGAGAGAGAGAGAGATGAACAGCAGTTCTCTGGTCTGGGAGGGAGGTGTGTAAGTACAGGGTAGCTGAGAGACGCCAGGAGAGGAGGAAGAGGTGGAGGGTGTGTGAATGGTGGGGGGGTATGTACTACTGCATTCAACTAAGGGTGACTCACTCCTGCTCGTAAAGTGGCCGAACACCTCTGCGCAGACATACATGTAAATACACACATCTTACCAGAGGACCCCCAGTGGCCAACAACTGTGGTGTTAAGCGCCACACACGTGCACAGTGCGGTTTCCCAGTCTCATCATGTTAATCCCACAGTCATTTGGCTCTTTATTTGCTGTTATTTTTAACTGGCTCCCACTGCTGAATCATTGTGTTTTAGAGTCACACCCATGCATCCTCCTGGTCCAAATATGCACAAGCAGCAACCCATTTGTTCAATTTTGTTACTCACTCCATCTTCTCCCTTACTTTCTTGATCTCAGACAAAGGGACCTTGTGTCTGTGTGTGTGTGTGTGTGTGTGTGTGTGTGTGTGTGTGTGTGTGTGTGTGTGTGTGTGTGTGTGTGTGTGTGTGTGCATGAGTGTGTGTCCACACGTGTTCCTACATGCATAAATTTGTGTGTCTTAGTGGGCCTAACCTCAAGCTCTGTTTGGAGACAGTCCTGACTCCCCGTTTCTCTCTGTCTGTCTGCCTGCCAGATCCGTCTATGTACTGTGATCATACACTCACTCACATACACAGCACAAATTCACAAGAAGTATGAATTTCTCAACAACTCCCAATCCCCTGGACAATACAGACCTAGAAAAAAATTGTGCGCAGCTTCCCTCCCCTCCCCTCTCTCTAATCCCCTTATTCTCTTACCGACCTACATCCTGGCCAGCTCAGAGTGTTAAAATACAGTATTGTGCAAAAGGCTAAAAGGGAGCAATAAGAAAGAGAGACAGAAAGGGGGAGCAGAGAAAGGGAGGAGATGAAGTGAGGATAGAAAAAGAGAAAGAGAGAGAGACAGCAGCAGGTATTGACTTTTGACATACTTTAGATGAGAAAATATGACTCCTTCTCACTAGCTGTGCACATGCATGCACACCTACACACTCATGCACACACACACACACACACACACACACACACACACACACACACACACACACACACACACACACACACACACACACACACACACACTCTCTCTCACACACACACACACACACACACACTGGCCCTGCAGCCTGCCAAACATCTGGAGCAAAGTTAGAAAACGCTGAATGAAAGGATCTTTAATAACACTGGATTGGTTGTGTGACCACAGCCATCAGCCAATCAAAACAGGCCTGGATGGGTTATCTGTCTCAGAGCGGTTATCGAACGGACGCTTTTATTGCTAGTCGTGTTTCATAGCTAGAGCTCACGACCACACTTTGTTTGCCTCCCAGTGCAACTCTGTGTGTGTGTGTGAGTATATGAGAGTTTCTGCTTTGATTTTCTGTGGGTCTGCTGTACTCTACCCTGCCCTGTTAATTCTCACCATACTTCTCAACACCATATGCTTTCAGGTCAAGAAAATATTTAGGGCCTCAATAGGATGGTATTAAATACTACCATAATATATAAAAACCAGGCTTCCATTTTATTCTTCTTTTCAGGGTGTGTGTTTGGTTTGGCAGCGAAAGTGAAGGCCTCCCTCACTCTAGCTGAGTAGTTCGTACTTGGTAGCACTTGGAGGTAAAATATACCAAGTGCTATGTTGAGCCAAGCTGAACAAATGTGCATGCACTATGTTGTATCAAAACTGCGTTCTTCCAAAAACTTGCAATCTCTTTATAGTTGTGTAAGAGTCTAGACAAGTAGGATCAGGGGTCACTTCAGCAAATACATAGCTCTTCCCATTAGCTGTTGCCTTTGGTCTGGGCTTTGTAATTGGACTCTGTTTCCCAGATCCTCCCTCTCCATGACGCTGCATCAGCACAAATCTCCACACACACACACACACACACACACACACACACACACACACACACACACACACACACACACACTGAGAGGGGCCTTGGCCCTGCCTCAGAGCTGTACAGTGATCAACTGCATTGTCCACACATGTTGGCAAGCCTGCTCACACAGACAGATGCTATATACATATTTCAATCCCATTCATATGTTTTATGTAAAAATGATAAATTCACATTGCCTATGTAGACTGATAGCACTACTTATTTTTCCTGTCCATACTGGCCCTTCTTAAATCCAAAGTAAACATGATAAGACTTCAGAAATCTGAGCTATCAAGATACTGTGCAAAAATTCCAACTTTTTGTTACTGTCTCTACACTGCAGCTCAGCAAGGAAACACAGAGTGGTGGTAAGAGACACTAACTGGAAGATACATATTTCATTTGACTGACTCTTACTGCTGAACCTGTATATTAGCTTCAGCTGAACTCTCTTACATTAAAAATGCGTTTGGGATCTTTTTGGGGCCATTATGGACAGGAGGGACAATTAAAGCAAGTAACACTGCTTTCATATGGACATAAAAAAATGTAATTTATTTAGCAAAAATGTCATTTCCTATCTAAAGATTCTAAAATGTGAGGATTTGCTGCTTGTCTCTATTTTATATTGTATATTGACAATTTTTGGGCTTTGGATTGTTTGTCAGACAAAAGCATTTATTGTGTAAAATAATCAATAGATTGACTGGCAATGAGAAGTTTCAGTCAAAAAGTTAAATGCTAGAATACTGTGTCAGTCACCTACAATATTCATGTGGTCCTCATAATATGGATAGGATCAAAAAAGAAACAGCTGTACAATATAAATTGTATTTATATAATGTGAACACAATAACAGGCACACCTAACAGCAACAACACTGATCTGATCTGATCTGAACTGAATTGATTGATTGATTTTAAAAAATGCTTTTTGTCCACAGCCTATTGTAAATGAATGTACTTTTGTCCCTTCGCAGCTCAGCCAGCAGCCAGATCCACGCCCGCCCACCACACCCAGCCATGTCGGACACAGCCCAGCAGCCAACTGCGCATTGGAGCCAAGCACCACGCACACACGCACTCCCCTCACACGCACTGTCCACATCCCACGCACACGTCTCACACACATGCCCTCCAGTCCAACGGGGTCAGGAACGGGGGCCCTCATGAGCACCCTAAGTTGGGGTCCCTCCCGAGAGGCGGATCATCCACCTCCTCGTCCTCTTCAGCAGGACCTAAACACACCAAGAAATTGCAGTCCAACCCCTCCATCACCTCCCAAAGCAGCAAGAGAAGCAAGAGCAGCTCCAAGAGCAACAGCTCCCAGATTCCCACAGAGGCACAGGACGGTGAGATAAAGAAACAGATGGAGGGGCTGGGGCAGCAGGAGAGGGAGTTTTTTGCACATGTCTGGTCAAAGTAGAGCATCAGAATTCTTTCCCATGAATTAGGATCAATGGTTTATAATATACACAACTAAATACATGAAAAAAGTCAACAAAAACATCATTGAGTTCAACAGTTCAACTGAACACTGTATTTTGTCCTTGGTACTTGATAAATCTTTACCAACTGCGAATGGAAACAGAAAACTGATTAATCAAAAGGCAAAGGAGAAATTCATCATATCTCAGTAGCCTATATTAAACTTGTCATCCCGTTAATCACTCGTGATGAGCAGTCCTCTGTGGGCTGTTTTGTTTCACCACATCTTGTCACAGCTAGAGTGGCTGCATCAACTTGTCTCTTTAAAAGAAAGCAGACTAGATCCAATGTACTTAAGTATACATAAGTAATGCCAAACTATAGATAGCATGGTATTATAGATTGTTTTGTCTACATGAGCAATACTGATATTAACAAAGGAGAGTAGAGTGGTTCTGTGGTTGTGCAGAGAGGTAAAGACAATTATTACTTATTACTAAGGGTGTGTCGGTAAGACCAGAAATTTGTTCAATTGTTTTTACTCCCTGCCGTGAGTAAATGTCGTGAGTCAGTGTGTGAATTTTTTGGTGTCTGTATTTTCAAACTATATATTTTTTTAATATTTGCTTTATTGGCCTTTTATAAGATTAGATTTCTGAATGGTGAATGGTAAGAAACTCATTCACTGTGTCTGTGTCTTTTTCTCTGCAGACTGCTGTGTTCATTGTATTCTGGCCTGCCTCTTCTGTGAGTTCTTAACTCTGTGTAACATCGTGCTGGACTGTGCCACCTGTGGCTCCTGTGCGGGGGACGACTCATGTTTCTGCTGCTGCTGTGCATCGGAGGAGTGTGGCGACTGTGACCTGCCCTGTGACATGGACTGTGGCATCATCGACGCCTGCTGTGAGTCTGCAGACTGCCTGGAGATCTGTATGGAGTGCTGCAGCCTTTGCTTCTCCTCCTGAGGCCCCTAGCCACCACCACAGGGGGCAAAGTAGTTGTCTGCTACACACTCCCACAAGCCCAGGAACAACTTCGACCAGTGTCTTATCAGAGCTGAGAGACGCTACACCCAGTCTTTGTTGCCTGGGCTCGTTGGTTTACACTATATTGGCTGGCCTAGTTGGCTCCACAATATGTCCAATGTTTCTTACAGGGTTTGCCAAGCAAAAGATGTGACCTAATGCTGAGAGCAGTCACTGGTGAATTCTTCCTTCCTTTATTGATCAAACGATTGGACAGTAGCCTCCCCTGCCTTGTCTTTGCTGTTGGTCCATTGCTACACAGCTGGGTATACGGTGCAGAGTGAGTTCCAGCTGTGGTCCACGAGTGTCTGCCAGCCTGTGCAGACCGGGCCTCTGGACACTCACAGAACAAGCTATTATTACAATGGAGCCCCTTGTGCCGTCTGAATGACTGGAGTTCTCCAAGCATGAAAAATGACCTCCAAAGGCAAATGAGAAAATGGCTCCATTTAACCGGATTTTAGTGTTTCTGTAGATAAGAGCAGCAGCATAATGGGAAAATGGACGCTCAGATCTCAGTAGAAATGTAGTCTGTCCTCCTGTCCTAGGCAAGGTTAAAGTCTTCCAGTTTGATTGCATAGAGTGGCCTTTGCGACACACACGCACGCACGCACGCAAGCACGCACACACACACACACACACACACACACCCTAAGTGGAGGATGTTGAATCCACTGCTGTCTTTGTCCTTGTTACAATGTACAAGATAGAGAAAACATTAATGGTGGCTTGTGGCAATATTAAAGACAAATTTCTTTTGTTTATATGCATCTCACTTAAAGGTCCAGTGTGTAGGATTAAGAAGCATCCAGCGGTGTAGTTGCTGAACTCCCTCACTCTACCCTCCCCTCTAAGCCCAAATGAGGTGGTTTGTCCGTTCTGGACACACAACAATTCTTACTTTCAGGTGATTGTACACTAATGAAAACATATCTATATAATAGGTATGTATATATATTCCATTTCTGCCGAATAGATCCTCCTAAATATTACACCCTGGACCTTTAACAGACCTATTCAGAGAAGAACCATGAGAGCGTTATGCATCAGCCTGAAGATGGGTCCCATTAAATGAGTATACTGTACATGATGGACATCGCAGAGCGAATGGTTGATAGCATCTGTCATGGACACATTCTCTACTGTAACATGTGAAGGGAGAGAGTTCTTAATCAAAAGCCTCTCCTCATTTAATGTTCTACATCATGTTTACTTTTATATGTTTTATTGTGAGGGGCTTTGGCTGTATTCATTGAATTCTTCCTCATCTGAATGGTCAGAACTGGTAAAGGACTTGTAGAGGATTGGAAGGCTCTTTAAAAAAAAAGTAAATTTCCTTTTTCTTTGTTGTTCTTGCTATGTGAAAAAATGGCCTTGGCTTAGCTTAAGGCCTGAATTTTCAAGTAATTCCTCGCCTTTACCAAATCTCTATTAATCCTTATTTTGTAGATTTTAGTTAAGATATTTGCATTTCTCCTCCAATGTGAAAATCAAATTTCTGTGTTATCGGGTTTGCCGGGCTCTCTGTAAAGCAGACATTGCTCAACATCTAATTTAATTCATTGAATGAAAATCTCACGACATTATGCTAAGTTAGATCCATATGCTCGTAGTATGAATGGTACGCTTTTGATAACAGGCCCGCACTCTCATATTCATACTTTCTCCAACCCAATACCTCTTGAGATGTCACCTAGATCTGTTGTGCATTTTAAAATGACTTGACACAAATCTTTCTCCTCTCTG